TTTCCACTTTTACCACACTAAAAATTTAATTAAATTTATTAAATAAATAATATATTTATTATATTGAAAAAAATCAAATAGAATAGTTCAATCTATATACCGTGAAAATTCAAGGAAAGCTATAATGCAAGAAAAGGTAATGACGTAGGTAGACATAATTATAGATAATCAAAAGTTATGACGTAAATCAATTCGAAGGTGAGAAAAATAATATTTTTCGTATAAATAACATCAAGCGAACAGTCATACCATACCTATGACTGTATGATAAAAGTACGTTCTTAATAAACTTCAAGGACTAATATGACGTAGGATACATTCATACCTAATAGTCTTATATGAAAAAATATTAAGTGCGAATATAGTTTTTCTAGTTAGATTTTATCTTATGGATATTATAAAAATATGTTCGGAAAGAAGCAAAGGTAGGCAAAATACTCGAAGTACTCGTACTTAAAGAATGAAATATTTTTTATTAAAACTTCGTGGGCTTTTCATAATATTTTGTTTTCTTAAGAAAAAATCATGAAAGAAAGGGCGAATGTTATTTGAAAATGATTAGTACAAGATAATGAATAAAGAAGTCATATTGAGTTTATATTTCTTACCATCCTAATATATACTAAGACTCATGTTTGTCATGAAAGAATAGATTTATTTGTATAATTACCTGCTCTTTTTTATCAGAACAAAAAAGACGTGTATGATGACGTTTTTGTACTACAATAAATGTAATACCCGGTTGATAAGATGCTTCAAGTCGAACACATGCTTCACGTACAGCCATTAATTCATGTGCAAGTACATGAGCAAATTGACCTTCACTAACACCATCACGATATAAAATAATTCTTGCTGGTTTAAAACGTGTTGATTTATAAAATTGTATAAGTAATTCTCTAACCATTGTTGATAATTCTGCAATAACTTCATGACGATGCATTTGTATACGAACAGTAGCTGCATATCGTGATGGATGTGCATCCATGGATCCAACAACCTATTAAATTTTATAAAATAAATAAATAAAGAATAATTCATTCAGAAATAATTTTAATACTTACAGCAGCAATAGATGGTTTTGATCGATCACCAGCTGGTGGATGTGTTACATCAGCACCAATAAAAATAACCGGTTCACGAAAAACACTTATAGGTCGTACACTTGGTACAAGAATATTATTAACACCACCTAATTTAACATTAATTTTTAAACATAAATTTGATAATGTTTGTGGTGTTGTTTTATTAACATTCTTAGCTTGTACACATTGTGTTGCTAAACCAATTAATGTATCACCAACACGTTTTACTTCAGCATAAACAGGTGTTTTACCAGGTAAAACAACAACAATTAATTGAAGACCATTATATGTTGTTTTAAGAAATTTAAACATTGGTTCAACTTGCTCAATACCAGTTGCATATTTGCAAAAACATGGTTGACCAACAATTGGCATACCAGCATCATTTGATATTCGTTGTAATTGTTGAGTAAATGTACGAAGTGATGCTTCATTACAATTACGTTGAGGTGCAAAACATGCTATTGCCCATGTACGAATTTCAATACCTGTATGAAATTGTTTACCACGCATATCCCATACACCTTGATTTGGTGTGACAATAACTTTAGTCTTGAAAAAAATACAGTTAGAATAGGATAAAACGAAAAAAGATATCTTATACATTGTTACTTACACGACCGCCATATTGGATTTTGGGTGCATTTAATACTCGACCAACAACTTCTGTCATATTAGTTAAAATATTAATTCCGAAATGAGTAACATAAACATCATTATTAAACTCAGCTTTGCGTACCTAAACAAGAGATTTAATTATCTACTGAAAAACACGAAGGAATTCATTGTTGCCAATTGAGAAATACTTTATTTTTCTGTTTTGCTTACATCAAACGCTTTTAAATTTTAACATGATTTAAAACTTACCAAATTATTAATTTCTTTTTCTCGATCAGGTGCTGATCTTGCAGTCGCCTAAAATAAAATCGAAAATAATATCTTAGAAAAAACGTTAATCTTATAAGAAATTGAATATTTTGCATGACAAAGAAGATCAAAGAGTCGTGCTGATTGATTTGTTAAATAGCCCGTATATCTCTTTTCAGATTTACATTATTATCATTCGTTCCTATCTATGTTATTGTCATTAACAAAAGAAAAACAATTATTATAAGATCTTAGCCAATTAAAACATTGATTTTTGTTTTTAAATTCATCCCAAACAAAAACAGCAGTTATATTTACGCATGTGCTCATACGAATTTATTACTTAGACAAAGAAAAAAAAGAACAAAACGTCTGTTCGCGCACGCGAATAAAGACAGTGCATATGTGTAAAAATTGAATTTTTACCTGAGGTGAATCTGGTTGACTCTACAATAACATATAGATAGGAACGATCTCAATATTTATGTAGAAGTTCATTCCAAAGATAAGAATCATGCTTATTCAATATTTATACAAAATGAAAAGAATAATAATAACAACACTCTACCTCACTCCACTACAAAATATATATACACATGAATATTCGCAATAGTAAAATCTCAAATGAGATTAGAGAATAGGATTAGATACGTACTTTAATCATTGTTGATGTTTGCATATCAGTTAATTTTTTGATACATCGTTGTCCAGGAACAATATTACAAACCTAAACAAATGAAATCCTTTTTTTTAAGAAAACAAAATTTCAATGAAGATTCTTATATACTTCAAGTGGTAGATAAGTATGTTTTTGTTCTTGACCAACTTGTAAACATGGTAAATGAGGATATTGAAGTTTCATATGATGTTTCTCATAGAAATATTTAGCAACAGTACATTCAACTGTTTGACCACTTTCAAGTTGAAGAGGAAAACTAAATGAATAAATTGAATTAGGAAACTATTCATTATAAGCAAATAATAAACTTACGTTTGATATTGTGCAGGTTTGCGTGTAACATTACAAACACGATATTTACGTTTCATATTACCACAATGAGTTATTTCAATTTTGAGACCTAAATCAAATAATCAGTTTGATCATTGAGATACGAACGAGTAAATATAATATCTTTGAAATCGATAAATAACCACTTAAAGTAATTCTTTCAATAGACACAATATTGATCATAATCTATAAGCTACTATCAACTTGTCATATAGAATATACTTTTATGCTCTTGACAAATAGCATACATAGATGATAGTTTGATTCTATGTATAAGATAATTACAAACCTTTAATTTCTTTTGTAAATTTAACTCGTTGTGCATCATTCAATGGACGTCGTTGATCTTGAATATCGCGAATATCAAGTACTTCACACATAAAATCAATGACGGGTTGCGATTTATAAAAAGCTGTAGCACTAACTAAAAATAAATAATAAAATCTTATTGAAATTCTTCAATCAGTTAAATAATTTACCATCAATATTTAATGACATTCGCCAATATGATGGTCGAACAGATTGATGAAAACCAAACCATACTTCTCGACCACCACCCAATGGATTATATTGAACATCTGGTGGAGAGAAAAATGATCGACCAACTGGTGTATATCTAAATAAAAAAAAAAGATTTCAATCAATTTTATATTTAAAATCTTTTGTCGAATTTTAAGTCAATATAGAAGCTTGATGACTTACTACCTATGAGTTCTTAGTATAATAAAAAAGTAGAAAAAAATAGGCTAAATTTTGATTTTATAAGAATACTTACTTCATACTCGGTAAATGTCTCATAATAACATCAAGTGCTTGAACAGCTTCATTGGGTACGGGTGGTCCATGTCCTTGTAAAGCTTCTTGTAAACTAACTAAACTAACTTGTGCAACCCATTTAATTTGTACTTTGAAACAACGATCACGTCCTTCGCCAGGACCTGGTAAAGTAACTTCAAGTTCAATACGTTCACGACCAAATGGTAATGGATCTTTTGTATATAAATTTCGTTTTCCATCAAATGCTGGATGTTGAGTATTGAATATATTTTGAAATTTATTAACCATTGTATCAATTATTTCACGATTAACACGTTTTGGACATTTATCTGGTTGAATATTAAGATCATAATGTTGAATAAGTATTGGAGGTATACGAATTGAAAAATGATTTGCACGTAATTTTATTGAGCGACCTTCACGACCAAAATCTGGTCGTGGAGGAGGTGATAAATCAAGTGGAGGATTAAGCATTGTCATTATACCACTTCCAGGTGGTGTCGATGGCATGGATGTCATATGAGGAGGACCTGGAAGACCCATTGCATTTGATGTTGATGAACCTGAGGAACTTGTACTTGTATTAATCATATTTGTTCCATTAATAGTTTCATTAACATGTAATGATGATGATACAGGTGGTTGACCAATTGGTGGAAGAAACATTGTAGATAGATTTGATTAGAATTGTTTTAAAAACAGATTTTTGTCAATGAACGATTAAGCGACACAAAATTTTTCTTTATAATAGAGGCTCACATTCGACGAACTAGAAGAAAGAAAAATTGAAGAAAAAGTAAAAACTAAAATATGAAATTAAAAAAAACAACATACATGATGATGATGATGAAGGCAGCCAACATACATACACACAGACAGAATAGAATAGAACACAATGGCCGAGGCCATTAATGAGGATAGATTCTCTATACTAGCTTTTTTATCTTTGTTTTAATAGAGGATATTAAAAGAAGATGATTTAAATGAAATAATGTTAGAAATTGAAAGAAAAAATGTTTTTAAAATAAAAGATCTAAAATAAAATGAATTATTTGAATTCTTTTGATAGATGACGCTAGTGTTTTAGTTTCATTCAAATTAACAAAGATATATTGATTGTTTGAACAGATGGTTAACAAAAGCAAATATTTTTTATCATATAGAAAAAAAATGATCGAATGTATCACGAATAAAAACAATATTTTTCTTATTATTCTTTGCCAAATTAAAGATACAATCTTAATTATACACTACTAAAATGATCATTCTTCATACAAAATTGCATTGCGTTTATCAATAACAGTTTTTCCAGTTTCATTTATATAGAGTTGTTTAATATTTTCCAATTGTTCTTCGATTTGTTGTGATAATTCTAGAGGAATTGCACCCAGTCGAATGGTAATTGCATCGAATTTATCTCTATTTGAATAATGAAGCGATTTTGAATTGTTAAATCTTAAGAAATATTCTCCATTTTAAAATAAATCAATTGATTTAGTAAATATTTCTTACTGAAATATTTCTTGAGTATCATCGATAATTATAAGAATATAACGAGGTAACCAACATGTTATTTGATCGGGTGCACCTTGAAATATCAAATAGATTAGTTTACTAAAAATTTATTTGAACATACGAATGAGAAGATTTATTGTATTGATCTGAAAAAAATATCAATCTATACAATTCACAGAATGTAATTTTAACCCTTTAAGTACCAACGGAGCCTATAAGCCCCACTTTTTTAGAATTTGCGAATTCTGAATAAATTACGAATGCGAAACAATATCGAAGTGCACTTGCCGTTGTGGAACAGAGGGCATGTAGATGCTTGTATTCGCGCGGTATTTATCATTTTAATAACCCTTTAAGTACTAGCGTGCCGTAAGGGGGTACGGGTATTGGTCGAAAATGACTTTGAAAGTTCCTTGAAAAGTTTTGATGAAAATTTTCACAACATACAAAATACAGGTTAAAAATAAAGTCCTAACAAAGTTTCATCTATTCGCTGAGCCATGGTACGAACAGTGGCGTAGATAGGGGGGGGACGCGTGGGGCGCATCACCCCCCCCCCCCCTTGCTTCCAAAAACTAATAGGAAAAAGGGGTTTGCGCCCCCCTGCTTCTAGAAAATTGACTTTTTTGACCATTAAAATAGAAAAATTAGGCTTACGCCCACCCTACACCCCCCCCCCCTGCTCCGACACCTGACTTACGCCCCTGGGTACGAAAAGGGTTAAAAGATCATACTTTTTCAATTTTTTTTCCATTTAATTTGAGTTTTCCTAAAGTATTATTTTCTAAATGTTCACGAATTGTCTCATTGGTCGTTAATCTCATATAATCAGTTGATATTGTTTCATCAATCAACAGATCAATAAAAATACCAGGTTTATTCATATCGGATTGAAAGTCTTCAGTTAAAATATAAACAGTATAGGAGCATTCTAAACAAACAAATAGATTTAACTATATATATATATATATATATGTATATATACCATAATCATGAATTGAAGCTAATGTTGTACTAGAGATTGGCTGTTGTTGCTTTAGATTTCGATTTACTATTAAGAAGACAGAGCATAGATCATTCAATAGACTATTCTTTACTATTACATTTGATAGGTTTTCGTATTTGAATTTCAATTAATGGTACACTATCTATTCGTTTTGAATTTAACCATTTATTAATTTTAAATCTATCACTCTGAAATTGTTTCGATGGTACATGTATTGATATTGATTGAATAAACCATCCTTGTTCAGCATGTATACTCTCATGTCCTAATATGATTTTATCAATCTAAGATGCAATTTAAAAATTAATTAAATATTTTATTTTAACATACTTCGCCAACATCGACATCATAGAAAATAAATAGATCATGATTATCAGGTTCAAATGGAAATAATTCATTTTGAGAAATTTCAAGATATTTATTGATAATTGTTCCTCTTGTTCCATTAATTGTTAACCACACTGGACAATTCGTTGCTGCTTGAGGCATTACACCCGTTACAATATGAATTTCATATCGAATAACTATACAATAAAAGATTTCCTATTCATAATTAAACTTACTATTCGATCGATTTTCTAATAGATCTATTTCATTATATGATAATTTTTCATTATCTGTTGAAAGTATAATTTTTGTTTTACCATCATAATAATCCATTGAAAGCCATCGATCAACAGAAAAACTTAAAGAATACTCTTTTAAAAAAATATATTTGAGTAGTTTTATATTAATAAATACAAATATTCTTGTTGATTATTCAAAAGTTTAATAACTACAAAATCAACAAACCAAGCAGGTGAAGAATTTTCATTATTATGTTCAAGTACAATATATTCAATTTGTTTAAGTTGTTCATCAACTTCAACAAGAAATATATCACGATATCGATTTTGAAATGGTATTCGATTTGTTAATGATTTACGAAGTTGAAATGCATAAACACCTTGTGAACCAGATAAGAGTATACTAGAAAAAAATATATCGAAATAGAATATGTTATAATTTCTTCATACCTGCAATCAGCGAATGTACCAGCATATTTAGCATTGCCTGTTTGTATAATAATAGCACAATTACCATTACTAACACTTTCAATATCTTTAATATCGGTTACTGAATAATTGATTTTTGTATTTTCTTCATCGATTAATTCATTAATATCGAATCTAAATTCATTTGAAATAATTTTATATTTAATAGATAATGTTTTGTTATACTTGAATATTTTATTTCGATTTGAGATTATGACTTCAATACTTGTTAAAATCCAATTTTTCGGAAATCCTCGCCCATCATGAGATAATTGAATATATTTTGGCTAAAATAAAAAAAAACGTTTTTTTCCAGTTCATATTCTATTTCTTCGCACTTACAATACCAATATCTTGATCAATAAAATGAAATATATCAGTTTGATTTGATTGTAAAGTATGAATTGTATTATCAGCAAATTGTAAAAGAAATTTTTTTGTTTCAGCTTTATTTCCAATTAATGTTATAAAAACAGCTGATTCATCATTTTCATTATTATTTAAGCATGTATTTACAGTAATCTCATACATAATTTCTATTATCATACCATAATTATTCTCATTCAAAATGACTGAAGTATCGACTGTTGATAAAATATTTGATTGAAATGGTATTGGTCTATTTTTAATAAATTCATAATCAGGAAAAAGTAAACGAATTTCTTCACGTGCATGTTTATTATTCGATGATGCATGTAAACCATTACGCATTATATCTAAACCATAAATTGCTCGAATTCTTTAATTGATCGAAAAAAAGAAAAATTATGATTTAATTTCTAAATTCAAATAATTTACGATTCCGGTGCATCCGTTTTTGCACGTACAGGATCAACAGGACCCATAATTTCACGTAAAGCTTGAACTATTCATAACAAATTTGAAGACAAAACTAAATCTAACGAAATTTTCTTACCAGCATTTTCTCGTGCAAGAATTATTACTTCACAAACATCACTGGAAAGTTAAGGATGAATAGTATTAAAATAGGATATAGGTCAATTAACCTGCTCATAAATTGAATAAAATCATTAAACCAAGGTAAACCTTGATGTCGAGCATAGAATTGAGTAAGAACATCTTTTGTTAAATGTCTTGTTTCTTTAATCATAATTATAAAACCATTTAAATTTAATCTTTTGAGAATATCATCTAAATTTAAAGAGCTATGTATAGAAAGAATATTTTGAAAATGTGTATTATTAGACCTTTTTGAATGGATGTTAAACCTGGTTTAATAATAGTTAGTGTTTGTTGGTATGGAAAAAATTGTTCAAGTTCTTTTCGTGCATCAACAATACTTTCCGAACCATGAATTGTCGTCTACATTGATAGGTTTTATCATTAATTAAATGAAAACTTTTTTTCTACCACAGGTATTGTTGGCTCATCAAAATCATGTCGAAGTCTAATAGATAAAGTTATAGAATATGTTCACCTTTGTAAATAGAATAAGCATACGTTCCAGACATTTTGCTGAATTCTTCACGTGAAAATGGTCCAAGAAATTCACAAAAATCTGCAACACAATTTTCTTTAGCTACATAGAGCAATAAACATGGACCCCTATTAAATAGTTATTCAAATAAATCGAACATTAAATTTGTTTCTTACATTGTATAAGCTTCAATTAATGTTCTAAAAAATTCTTCATTACGATATTTAATATATAATGATTCAAGTTCATCGGGTCGAAACATATAAACTTTTTCATAACGTACTTCAAATCCACGTTGAATAATTGCTTGAATAATAGCTTCTATATGATAAAAATCAGGGATTTTGTATACAATCAGATGTTTACCTTTTTTCATTCGTACTTGAACAGGTCCAAGAAGACATAATGTTGCTGTTTTATGAATATATTCATCAATAGGTTTTCCTTCAATGATAGGATGTTGATATTCCGGAAAAACAATATGAATTTCTCTATAGAAATTGGTATACATATTAATTAAATTTGAGTTATTTCGAAAATTTCAACTTTAATGCTTCATTATTGTTACTACTTGAGTAAAAACCATTTAAAAGAACATCCGTTCCATAGATAGCAGTTAATGATTCAGGATTAGTTTCTTTAGCTATATCTGGATCATGAGGACCAATAATATATCGAAGATCATCTGATGTTGATCGTCCTGTAAAACCTTTCGATACTATTGCATAAGTACTTGGACCACTTGACATAAAACGATCAAATTCATTATATAGATGTACCGGTTTGAAAATTTTAATTAGATCTTCATTATTCAATAATTTATCGGCATTTATGTGTATGATAAATCCTTTATTACGTAACTATAAAAATTTAACATGTGATTCATTTATAACTTTTCATTTATTTTATTTACATAATCAAGAATTTGATCTTTTTTTCCATCGGCAACAAGATCAGGTTTTATTACAAAAAGTGCAACACCTAATTTATATGATTCTTAAAATATAAATATTAAAATTTAGAAAATTCTATTGAATTAAAAAAATACCTGAATTAAGCCAATAATCTTGATCAATTTTTTCAGCTGTTTTCATTAATAAACTTCGTAAACTTGATGATTCACCTTTATATACTACATATATTTGAAAATTAGAAAGAATATCATCGAATATTTTTACACATAGGTTCAGTTGTAATTGATCCAGTTGTTTGTTGAATACTATTATATTCTGAATCATTAAACTATAGAACCACATCAATAATTCTTATAAAATCATATATTTACAAACATACAGGTTCTCGTTTAGAATTTCCTTTTATTACTTGTAATTCATTCGTTAATTGTTCTTCAATAGCTTTTTCTATATTTGGTACATTTACATGATGTTGTATATATACTAGAGTATTATTCTAGAAAAAAAGTATTCTTATTCTGTTGAACTTTAAGATAAATATACTCCAAAAAAAAGTAATAGTGGCTCACAATAACCACGATAACGTTTAAGTATTTCAATATTTTCACAATTAGCAGAATAGAATGTTAAATATTCTGTTTGTGTTAAAGTACGTTTAAGTTGAAGAAAGATATCTTCTAATACAACTGTTGGGCCTGCCCATTCTTGATAAACATCAATGACTGTAAAATAAAATAAAAAAATCAGATTAAAATATATGTTGAATAAGAAGAACTTATTTTAAGCCTTCTTTATTTAACATCACATCCCATTCTTCTTTCGATTGTATATCACGAATTTCAGCTCTTTTCTTTGATTTCATAATTGATTTTATTTTAGCGCTAACATTCTATCTATATATTTTTGAGAAGTTTATAAATTTCTTGAATTAATTTTATATAATATATGCAGAAAAAAAAAGATACAGAATAGTATTGTTTTTGCAAGTACATATATTATTTTGCAAATGGATTTTTAACACCACTCCAAACTTCATAAGGTCGAATAAGTCCTTTTGATGATTGATCATGAGGTTGTGTTATTGAAGATGGTGGACTCACATGAAGGTTGACAACAGATACATGATTATCTTTATCAAATGATGAAATTTTGTTGATTTTATTTTCCTATAAAAAAAGAATATAGAAAAATGAATATTTATTTTAAATTAATAAAGATTAACCTGTCGTTTAGATCTACTTGTATGTTGATCAAATAAATTCAAAAGATCATTTGTTGATCGAGCATTTCTTAGTTGTGGTTGTTGTCCACGAAAAGCTTCATCGATTTTACGTTTAGCAATAAAGAATTGATTATTTGCAAAATCATTTAAATGATAAGGTCTAGGTTTAAGACTGTTCCCTGTAGTTGTTGATTGTACATTGTGCGATGATAATGTTGGATGATGTCGTTGATTGTTTAATGGGAAATGATGTACATGTGGTTTTTGATTACTTTGACTACTCGGAAGAGTAAGACTTAGTGTTTGAACATTCATTTAGTTCAAATTTCTTTTTTTATTGCCGATGGCACTTGAAAGAGTAAAAGTTATATTTTTTTCTTACTATATAATTTCATAAAATCAACGTGTTATTTTTTTTCTTCCTTTCTCCTTCTTTTTTCTTTTGTAAAAAAATAGAGAAAAAATTGCTTCAGTCAATTGAAACATTTTTCTTCACTTAAAACGTTTTAAGAAGGGTGTTTTCGATGACAACGCAAATACATAGGTTAATCATCTATTTTCGTATCGAACTAACCGTGAGTTCAAAAAAATGAGTCATAATTTACATAAAATCATTCAATCACTTTAAAAAAAGGCTATGTCCTTTATTATTTGAGAGAGGATACTAATAACGTTCTCACACCACATGGCTTTAACTATTTTGTTATATTGTAAGTCAACTGATGAATGTAATTATAGACATTAGAAAAAGGTAAATATATATATCAGAGTCATATTACTTTGTATTCAAAATAAATAATTGCATCAATTATTGGAGAAAATATAGTTTTTTATTTTGATAAATCTATATTATGAGAAATTACTAAATTATAACTTGATAATCAAATGGAATGCTAATTGCTTTAAACTCTTAATTTTACAAGCACTACTGAGATTTATTCGAATAACTAAAGATGTTCGAAAATGAAACGAAATAGATTTGTTGATAATCATTTGAAAGAATAAGAAATTTTGATGTTGAGCGTGGGTGAAGAAGAGAGTCACATCCACAAATTTGTTTTCAGTCGAAGAATTGAATATGTAGGCAACATCCAAGTTCAAATATTTGACATAAAAACAAAAAGAAGAAAGAATAGTTTTGGTTAAACAAAGGTGCGTAAGAAAATCATTTAAATCATTAAAAATATTTGATAATTATCATCAAAATTTGTTTATTATTCAGTGAACTAAAAAGATTCTTAGATCAATTGGTTTTTAATAATAAAAATCTACGCGAAAATAAACATTAGCCATATTTTTTGTTGATTTTTTTTCATCACAATATAAAGATGTTGAATTTCTTAATTATAAAAGACTTGAGATTCTTCTATTGTGTTCATATGAAGAAAAACTCCAATGAAAATTTCGTCTTATCATCGTTGTATTTATTCTCACAATTTCTATTATAAATTTATTTTCGCTCAGATTTTACACTTTTAACAAAAACAACAAACAACGTTAATTTTAGTCTTTTCACAGTTTTAATAATAAATATCTCTATATGTTTATTCACACCTTCATCCTCATCCGACATCCAAATATTTCATGAAGAAGTTAATTATTTTTATCATAAGACGTAAAAAATATCTTCAGTATTGATTTGATCATAATTATAAAAATGTGCATCACCTAAAATCTCAAATGTGAAGATAAAAAAAGAAAATATTTCTAAAGCGAAAAGTATTTGTCGATGAATTCTGCTAAAATCGATTGTCGTTTGATGATAATGGTTAATATGAAATATAAATTAATCGAGATAATATTTTGTTAAAAAATCAGATTGAATAACTTTTCTCTTTATTCATCCTGTTTGTCTGTAAAACATCGATTGATTTCAATTCAACCAACAAAAATCTTCCCCTTTTAAATAACAATATTTGAAATAATGATCACATTTTTCTTTTGTTTTCAATTCATCGGAGAAAATCAAAAGGATAATTAATCTACATGACACATTTTCATTTTAATGATAAAAAATGATTTCTTTTCAATAAATTGTCGAGATTTAGAAGATAGAAGAAAGATAGCAAAAAATATTTTAATGATCCTCGAGTAGTTTTAACGATGTTAAAAACAAACAAAATCAATAAAACAAAATTTCATGAACAGAAGAAAACAGAAATGTGAATTATTTTATCGACTGAACAATTCTTATCCTCTCGATTTTTCTCAATAAACTCTTCATATCGACAACAAATTTATTAAAATATTTCAAAGATATTCATCAAAATGCGACAAAAATAGATTTATTTTTAAACATAAGACAAAAATATTTAGATTTAGAGAGAAACTCAATTTTTATGAACGCAAGACTATGAGATTCAATAAATCTTATCAATTGTTAACAACCATTCATAACATTTTCATACACATTATTGTGATAGTTTCTTTTTCCTTTTATCATTGTCAGACGGTGGTAGTGGTCAATTTTTAACTTCGATGTACATCGCGGAAAGATTTTATCCATCATCACAATAAAGATATCAGCTAATGCAATGATTTTATTCACGATGAATCAGAATATTTCTTATTTTGAACAGAATTATGATCTCCACAATTTCTCTACGATCAAAATAAATCAGTTAGACGATTTAATCGAGATAAATTCTTATTTAATAATCTCAATTTAATTTTACAATAAATATTATTTATTTTTCAATAGTTTTCTTTTATAAAATCAACATCTGAATAAGAATAATTCTGTGCACAAAGTTAATAAAAATCGATATTCTCGTACGAATGATCAGTATATCTCTTTGATTACTGATGTCAAAAAAGAATTTCAAGTCTTCCCCATTAAAAATTCAATTTCTCAACAAAACTGGTAATGCCGCTTGAAAAAATTGAATTACTTTAGAGAATTTGTATTCAAATGTTCAAACTGAACAAATAGAAAATCTGCAAAACAATAAATATTTATAATATCGAAACTTTAACTTTAAACTCAAATCTGTAACATCATTTTATTTTCAAAAAAAATTATACAAACTATCAACAAAGACAAAAAAAGTGAATCTTTACAATAAATAATGTTGAATGTGAGAATATTATTTTATATAGAAATTAATCAAATTTTAAAGAAAAGAAAAAGGATGTAAGTATGTGGGTGATTGTCGGTGGCTGTAGATAGTGTGCTTACTATCTACACCCACGCCGACACCCATACCCACACCCTTTATTTATTCCACATCTATCTTAGTTCATTTGGATTTATTTAATGGTATAGAATTCTGCATAGCTTTGATAAGTGCTTCTACAGTTTGTCGTGCATCACCTTCAAGCCATTCTGACGCAAGATTTTTTACTTCTTTTGATAGTTTATCTGGATCCATTGAGTAGTGGCTACATAGCTCGTCCATACTCGCATTTAAATTAAGTAGACAACGCCATTGATCAGTAGTAAAGTATTTAGAAGTGGTCTCTTGCTCAACTTTTTCAACCAAATTTTGCTCATTTTCAGTAAGTTCCTTTTTCATATATGCACGATGAAGAATGTCTCGAACATGGAAAAACCAATCATGTTCGTCTGATAATTTTGGCAAAATATGTCGAATAAAAAGGATGAAAGTTCCACACATAAACTTTGTTGTTTTCGACGTTTACTATTCTTTAACTCTTGTTCGACATGTTTAGTTGGATCATTAGCGTTGTTGGCGTCGTATGATTCTTCTTTCTGTGATGACGTTGATGCATGAAATTTTGGCGTCTCGGTTTTCTGCCGCAAGCGAAAATGCAAAGAGGAGTGTGGCAGCGAATTCATCTAAAAAAAATTAAACATAATGAAAAAGTGTAAGAATTAGTTAATAAAATGTGTCGAAAAAATTCAATAGGTTTACAGTTTTTATGATTGTCTGAAATTAGTCAGTACAAAGTCTTTTTCCGGAAGAAAGCTTTCTTCAGGTAAGGCCAGTAACTTATCCGCTAATTCTGCCACTGCTAAGGAATACTTTGATCCATCTTGTTGTCGTTTCTGGAAAACTGTGATCTCATTTGCACGTGCTTTAAGTTCGTTGACATTTTTTCTTGAAATTAGTTCTGCATGGCATAGTTTATTGCGTAGTTGACGAAGGTCATGAAGTGTAGAGTACACAGCTTCTGAAATGCCAGTCTGCGCGGCAAGTTGAACAAGGATTGTACGATCGAATTGTTTCATGCAATCTTCCCATGATTTGAGTTTCACACTTGCAGAATTGTTTGAATTGTGAGGTTCTCGTTCTGGGGTGTATGAATGTACTTTAACCTACAAGGTATTTGTAAGGTTAAAGTGAAATCTCTCTAGGGAAAATCAAGCCTACCGTATCCTATAAATATATAAAGAGTAAAGATTGGAATGATGTGGATAAAGACTTTGTTTATTGAATATAAACAAAGACAAATAAAAAGGGAAAACAAGAAACACTGGTGTTACATGAAGAAAACACCTCTTTATATATAACAGAGATATAAAGAGAAAACAAACTAGAGAGAATAATAGAAAGAGAGAGAAGGAAATAATCATGAACATGTTCATGAGAACAGGATGATCATAAAAGGAAAGAAAGAGAATATTTATATATATATATACGGTATAGCGTCATGATGTCATAACCGTTGACCCGAACATGAATTTATTTTCTTTAGTACTGGGATCAGAATTTTGGTACGATAGAAACCAAAACATTCTGTAATAAGACGAAGTAATTTGAATTCTTCCATTTTCTTCATACTGTCTTCAAACACCTTTCTATATGGGCATCCGATCAAACCTTTAGGATTATGGAGTGGTGGCATTATCATAAGTTTGTCGGCATCATTAATATCACTAGGATAACTCCGATCACCAGAATTAATAGTATTAATATTATTGAATCGCAATGTGCGAATGCACTCAGGTCGACCATTGCGAAGTTCGTAAACGGTCGTATACTGTCGGATACGATACCGTATACGATCGTATACAGCCCATATACGGTCCGTATACGACCGTATTGCTCCGTATTACCTGAGGCCGTATAACGACCGTATATCTCCGTGGCCGTATACGGATAAATGCAGAAAAATACTGACGTCGTATACGAGAGTATGTTCTAGTAAACGATCGTATTCATCGT